AAACCAGTCTTGCTGCCGTTAAAATATGCAGCATTAAATATAGTCCACCTTTGCCATGTTTTTCTTTTGTGATCCCTAGTAGAAATAATTCTGGCTTCAACTGCATACTTTGATTTAGCATCTCTTTCTTAGCTTTTGTGCACTCCCACCACATATGGTAGAAGGTCCCTAGTGCAGCATTACACTTCCAACATCGTGACGATAAGTTTTTGTTAATTTTAACTAATCTTGTGGGTAGAATGTGCCACCTATAGAACATCTTGTATAAGTTTTCCTTATACGAGGTGGCTAAAGTTAACGAAAGTGTAAAGTGTTTGGGTGACATGGATTCCGTGACTCCAGATACATAGGTGTCCACAATTGAGGGAAGAGTGGCAGTGGTGAGTTGCTCTTACCTTTGCTACTGGTATTCTGCTTGTGCTCCATTCGTGCATACGCCGGACGTGCACTGTGTGTGCGCCTGCCATGCACAAGCATGCACCACCCCTGCGATTCCCAGCTGCTGGTCGGAGGCATCGACGGTTGCACAGGCGCTGCATGCTGCGCGCACGTGCGCAATTAGCCCGGTTGCCTTAATAACAGATAAGGAACGTGGGTGGGTGTGGGCCAAATGAGCCACTATACCAGTACGGTGGCCGCACCTCCCAACTATTACCGGTATAGCCATACTGGGCTGTACCGACCAGAACCCACCACTGAAATGTGGTAAGTGACATCAAATGCATCATGACATTGTTGAGTTACTAATAAATTGCATACTTCATTGCAACCCTAACCCTAGCTGATCTGGCCAGCGCATATGCAACGTACCAGATAATTTATTTAATTGTTGCATTCATATCCCACTTTTCCATAAGATAATATACATGAGGTTGCCCATCATGTAATAACCTTTGAGACAGGCTGGGTAGAGAAAGAGTGACCAGAAAGACACTGAGCAATTTTTATGGCTGAGTGGAGTTTTCTCAGCAATTTCAATCCAATGTTTTTTCACACATCAACTTTTGGCTTAAAGGAATGTCGCAGAAGGCCACAAGGCGCAACAGATAAATCCCATGATTTTCCTGTACAAAGTAGAGCGAGGAATTCTGGTCATCTTTTACAACAGTTGTTGACACTATCTTAGTTCTTGCTGGGGCTCTAGAGGTTTGTTGCTTAGGAAAGTTATGTGAATGTCATCTTTGTTTGCCTTGACAGAGGCGCTGCAGGCCGCCATCGAGCAACTGACTCTCCTGGGTGCGGTGGAAAAGAAAGAAGACCAGCTGATCCTCACACCATTGGGGAAAAAAATGGCTGCATTTCCTCTCGAGCCCAAATTTTCCAAAGTAACGTCAACTTTTCTTTATATTTCTCTGAAAAAGTGCATCAGCCCCTTTTCTTGAGCTTTATTTTAAAACTAGTTGATAACCTGGCATTGCCCGAGTATTTATTTATAGGGGGAAAATGTCCAGACCAAACGTAATTTCTAATGTTGGATTTCCCCCTTACCAGAGAGAGTCCCTTGTGGAGTACTGTGTAGCCATTACCATGGCAACTCCACTGTGCTGTACAGTAGAATTCTTTTTAAGGCACAGCAGGCTGTATCTTAACAGAACAGAAATATATCAAAATTTGGTACATACCAATCTTATAGAATTCATCATAAAATGCACAACACAGAAAATGCATCAAAACACAGTTGGATTCACACTTAGCTCTTTTCCTTTTCACTATGTGTTGTTTGGCTCCATTTCTGAATGAGCTGAGGCACAGAGATATGTGATATTTTTGGTTATGTTGGTTAAAAGAGTTGGGCCTATCTTGCCTATTTTATGCTTATATAAAATTGTGCCTACCCTTTTCTGCTTTTGAAACTGAATAGGAATATGTTGTTCTCCCAATCCAAGAACAATACCGAATAGAAAGAGAGAGCAGAAAGACAGAAAAATAATAGTCCCTGAGTAACATGACAAACTGGAAGGAGACAAGTTAAGCCAGGTGTAAGATTCCTATGGGAGTAACCTTGAATAGAATCCAATAGAGCCGTGATGGCAAACCTATGACACGCATGCTGAAAGTGGCACGCAGAGCCATCTGTCTGGGCACGTGAGCCATCGCCTGTTGCTCTTCCGGGTTCCACCACACTGGCCAGCTGGTTCTTCACGCCCACGGGAGCAACGGAAACCAGAAGAGTAGCTGCCAGGTGTGCATGCGCACGCTGGGAGGATGATCTGGTTTTCGGCGCATGCATGGGTACCAGCCGCCTGGTCTTCCAGTTTTTGGCATACATGTGTGTGTGAAGACCACCTGGCCAGTGTGCATGCATGCACCAGAAACCGGAAGATCATCTTCCCCGCACGTGCATGCGCATCGGGCAGCTGGTCTTCCAGTTTCTGGCATGCACGTGCACGCACGCTCCCGTTTCAGCACTCAGTGCCAAAAAGGTTTGGCAACACTGCAGTAGAGGAACCAATGAGACTTTCTCTCATTTCAAGATTTGTGTATCAGATTGAAACACAAATTTCAGTCGAGGGAGGCTAAATTATGTCTTATTTCCTGTAATAGAAAGTCTATTGGCTTCTCTATTGGATTGACCTCCCCACCCTGCAAGAGAGAGAAGAATTCAGAAAAACAATGGATATTTTTTACCCTTGCTTATCCTTATTTTGATATATGCTTTTGGCAACTGTTTCAGTAAATGTCATTAGACACCAGCATGATGAAACAGTTATGTTAGCATTATAGGCATAAATCCCCAATAAGCCCTGAGGTTTCTGTGTTTCCTTAAGAGAGGCATTTCAACTTAATCTACCTATTGAGGATCCTATCCTGTAGTGGATAAAGTGTTTTTTGAACATTGCTTTTGATACATCTTGAAGTATCTGGCATACACTTTTTGGTCTACCACTTTTTGAATCATGAGGACACTTGTAACTGAGCATCCTGTCATACGTTCTCTAAATCCCTGCCTGTTTTGGTTTATTCAAAAGCAGCCAATTGCCTGGGTTGATTTAGATAATAATAAAGCATTTTTTATGATGGGATGGTACATTTGACCTTCAAGGAATCAACACATATGGACAGCTCACAATTAAAAAGAACAGCAAAATGTTGTAGTAGGTTAACTCAACGGGTGGGGGCACCTAGCCGAGCTTCAGAGTTTCAAAACTGAGCAGAGGTATGCTCAAGTGTCATGTTTGTTGTCTTTTGGCAGACGATCCTGATGTCTCCCAGGTTCCATTGTACGGAGGAGATCCTGACCATTGTCTCGCTGCTCTCTGTGGACAGCGTCCTCTACAATCCTCCTTCCCGTCGGGAGGAAGTCCAGGCCGTCCGAAAGAAATTCATCTCCAGCGAAGGGGATCACATCACTTTGCTCAACATTTACCGGGCCTTCAAAAATATCAGTGGCAATAGGGTAAGACTTGAATTGGTTCCTTTTGGGCAAGTGCTAGATTGTAAAAAGGTTTCCTCCTCATTGTGCGAACCAGGTGGTAGGGCTTTTTAGTGGTAGCCCCAGTATTTGGAATATTCTCTCCGAGGGATAGAATCAAGATCACGGGAAGTGTTAATACCACTTTCTAATGCCTACAAGGCCACACTTGGAATACTGCATTCAGTTTTGGTCGTCACGATGTAAAAAAGATGTGGAGACTCTAGAAAGAGTGCAGAGAAGAGCAACAAAGAGGATTAGGGGACTGACGGCTAAAACATATGAAGAACGGTTGCAGGAACTGGGTATGTCTAGTTTAATGAAAAGAAGGACGAGGGGAGACATGATAGCAGCGTTCCAATCTCAGAGGTTGCCACAAAGAAGAGGGAGTCAAACTATTCTCCAAGGCACCTGAGGGTAGAACAAGAAGAATGGGTGGAAACTAATCAAGGAGAGAAGCAACTTAGAATTGAGGAGAAATTTCCTGA